TGGGCAAGCTGACGAGCTTCTTCAGCAAGCCGTAGGTAGATGGTGACCTCGAGGTTTTCTTCGTCAGCGACGTTGGTAAGCATGGCATCGAGCGTCGTTGCTGGGTTCCTTACGTAGACCTACTTGTATGGCATTATATGCGTCTTCTTCTACACGGCGATGTTGTATGCGAAGGTCACGTATGGAAGGATGGCTTTCCACGTCTTGTGTTCGACGTTGACGTACATGGCCAGCATGTCGGCGATGGTCTTCATCAGACGCTTGGTCAGGCCATGGGTTGTGGTTGGTACGCGGTTGTGTACTGCGGTAGCTTGTCTGGCTGTATCAGGATTGCCTGAGTCAGGTCAGGTCAGCCTGAGTCAGGTCAGCGGTAAACGCCTGAGTCAGGTCAGCGGTAAACGCCGTACCTCTGTCGGGATGAGAAACTTTAGGGTGCTATGTCGAAGTACCATTTCCTCAACGAAGAAGTTGGCTACTTCGGCGGCACTGTCTTTGTGCAGGGCTCTTATTTCGGCGTAGCGGGACAGGTAGTCAGTAGCTACGATGATCCACTTATCTCCGCAAGTCGACGTTGTTAACGGCGCCACGAGGCACATTGAGGAAAAGTACTTCACGTTGTGGAGCCGATCAAGCGCATCGTGTATACTTGGGAGAGGATCCACATCTTTTTTTGTTATTTCGTTCAGACGGCGATAATCGACGCAGAGACGTATGGTTCCATCCTTTTTCACTGACACCGCGGTGGACGCCTACGGTCTTTTGGACTGCTAGATGATATCATCATGTAGCATTTCATCGACTTGTGTCTTTACGGTCTCACGTTCTCGCGTCGAAACTCTGTAAGGACTGTGGCAGGGTGGTCTGGCATTTTCCTCCGTTATGATTCGATGTTTCGCGACAGCGGTCTGCCAAATTTTCGACGACAACGACAAGCAATCCTTGCATTGCAGGAACACGGTCTCCAGCTTTCTTGATTATGCTTCCGAAGGCTCGGATTCCCGGCGAACGCTGAGGGAGGAGCTTGGTTCCTCCGAGAAGATTGCAGAATAGATGGGGCTGAACGCACTGGTGGCTTCCACAATTTCGTCAATGTATGCGATCATCGTGCCTTTGTTGACGAGTTTATACTCGTTGCTGAAATTTGTGAGCATAACTGTTGCTTTCCCTCATCGCAGCTCGATGATTCCTTTTGCGACGCAAATATTGAGGTCAACCAACACATGCTGATTGCCTCGAAGCCTTCGAAGTGCTCTGGTTCTGGAATGTCGACGGAATTGTGGCAATGTCATGCATCATTATGCTCAATGAAAGAAGGAAATAGGATCAATAGAGATGTTTTCTCACAGCGTAAAATACTGTGAACTTACAAGAGCTGACTTCAGTGGCGATAGCGTCCGTCGCTGCCACTGCCACAGATATCCGCAACAGCTATCGCATATTTGAGCAAAAGAAAAAAAAACGGCAGGTATTAGGCTCTGCTAACACGAAAACGCGACAGCCTGGCTGCACTCATCGAAGACGAATGGCCGGCAACGAGCAAGTGCATTTGTTTTACCTTAAAGTGGACTCTTAGAACGCCTCATGTGGGTACTTTTGTCTTCGTATGCTTCTTTTAAAAGGTATATGGTGGCTTAAAAACTTCGGGCAAATTGGTGATTCAGGACGGTAGAAACCACGTGAACGTAAAGCACGGGACGAAAAATAAACCCTTAAGACGACACGAGTGTGACATATACCACGCTCGTGTGGTATATGTATATCACACTCGTGTGGTAACTAAATAGCTTGATCGTTGGCGATCACCACAGGGATGAGATGTTGATGCTGATGCTAATTACCTCAGATGGATGGCACTCACCCGCAGAGAAAGATCGGCCAAGAACTGGGCGGCAGGATACTTAAATGAAACTAAAACAAAAATAAAGCCAACCTGAAAAATTACTTGTGAGACAAAACTGCCAATAAACAAAAATATTCAACGAACATCGCCGCCATTTTTCCTCTTCCTTTCTGTTTCTGGCTGATGTTCGTGTATATGTATATGTGGCAAATTTAGCAAATAATCAGGTGTTAGTCAGCACCCGCGTCGTCGTATGTTCTTTTGTCATCCCATGCTTTATGTTTTCGCTATTACCACCATCTGAGAAAATCACGGCATCTCCATGAAATGAGTAATGCTGACTGTGCGATGCATCGGGGTCGTTTAGTTTTTCTGTAAATAATCCGCGACATTGGTCACTCACACATGTAAACGAGCGACAAAGGAATGTACAGTTATATACAACGTTTATTGGTAATAAGCGGTATGTCGTGTTCAGTTGTGAATTTCATTTTGCCTTCATTATTGCTGCTTTGTACTATCGAATCTAGCCTAAAGCTGGCAAAAACGAGGTGGGCAGGTTCCCTCGGTGGTTGTTGGTTGTTTCCAGTCGCACGAAATGTATCGTAAAGCATATCGAGACAACATAGAAAACCAGTCACGTTCCGTGATTATCATCGTCATCAGCGCCATCTTCATCGCCATGGCGTATAGTGGGTAGCTTGCATACTTCGAGTATGCAAGTTTTCCACTAAAATAAACGAAGAAAAAACAAACGAAGGAGTTGTCACCATTACTTGGCGAGGGCTGCCCCTTTCACCTTGATTATTACAAATATAGAATTACGAAACAAAATAGCATGCGTACATATATACGTACACTCAGGTTAATCCTTCAGCGTCATCAGTGTTTTCGCAACCGAAGTACGACGGGGGATATGTATCAACCCTAAGGAGCATTGCCCCTAAAGCTAAAGAGCCACAAACGTGAGAGGAATGTGGGCCAGCCTTATCAACCTTGACCCACGAAAATATTTGCTTGATAGGCTAGTCGTTTCCCTGCAACCCATGCAACAGTGCGCAAATCTAGACAGAAGGTCTAGAAGAGACTGAGTACAAGACATTGTACCTCTGCCATTGTCCTATCTTGTGTAGGACAATATTACCTGTGTAGACCATCGAGAAACAGCAAGCCCTCGTGCAAAGAGCCAGGCCGGTCGCCTTGGCCAACGTACTTTCGGAAAACTACCCTTCATCGGCGATCTTGGATCTTTACACCCTGCCAGTAAAATGTGTTCATCAACAACACCATCAATTGTTCCTATTTTAACGCAGGATCCAGTGCGCTTCTGAAAGGAAGTACCTCAAGACTACACTTCAGCCCACTTTGTTGATGCTTTAGTTTTTATGTAGTCGATCATTAACGGTGGCTGAGCGTTTTTCAGAGTAACAATCTTTACAGTATACCCACTCCTTACGAATAGTTTACACGGTCGGGTGAGTGGTGGAATTCTAGCTTCCTAACATGCAACATACGCCTGAATAGGTCTGCGCAGGGTTCCCTATAGGAAGGAACGAAGGGGGCATAGGTTCATCACGTTTCTCTACCGTTAGGTCTATTTATAGAGTCTATTTAGCACCACCCACCTCCCTGCATCTAACATCTCTTTGTTTGTTAACATCAGGCAAGAGTTTAGAAGATGCTTCCAAAAAGTACAGCGGCGCAGAAAGCACTGGTGTGTCCTTGTGGTAGACTCTTACCTAAAGTGGCTGCCATGGAAGCGACCTTGGCCCGAACTACGTTCTTGAGAACTTTTTCTATGGCAAGTTGGTTTGTAACTTTACTAAACACGTTACTTGCCTTTCTTCTCTTCTTGCCTCTATGTTTAAAAAACTTAGTAAATAAATATACGTTCCTTAGGGAACGCTTGCGATTCCACGTTATTTCGTGTACCGCACACTGAGTTTTTTTTTTTTTTTTCAAGGCCGGCGTCTGGTGAGGCACTTAAAAGCTTGGATACGATTCAGAATCAAACCACAGCAGTTTCTAAGTCAGATACACTCTGCTGCTGTATTCAAGTTTTGTACATATTCATTGGTTTCGTCGGCATTGCCACCATTTGTTCAGGCGATGTGTGACGTCAATCGAGGAGTATCAATTTTTTTAGATAGTGTGCACGTATGTAAAAATATGTATATTTACTGTTTCCAGAAGGCGAGAGAATAATTGCATCCTTCCTTGAGCGAGTACATTTTTTTTTTATTATTCCAAACGTGACCTTTTTTTACACCATATGAAATAAGGGCGTAGCCAAGGAGATGAGGGGGGGGGGTCAACACCCTCCGATAGTTTAAAATTTTGTCTTCGTATATATACACGCACACATTCAAATCAAACGCATGCACTAACATTAAATATGGTTGACGCCCCACCCTCCCGAAAAAGATATCTGGCGGCCCACGCAATCAGTATCCCTTTTTTTTTCCACAGCAGCAAAGAGCTAAAAATAACATTTCAAGAACGCTGAGAAACACCGTGGTTGTTTGAACGGTCAATAATTGCATGTTCAAATACCACAATTCATATGAGCGAAAGCCTCTACGGAAAACCAGCAAGGATTGATCAACTAATCTGATAACGTGTTTTGCTCATCCATAAGTAGTTCGCAGTCATTACAGGTGCAAGCTATAAAGATGGGAGTGACTAGGATTTTTTTTTTCAGTGAATACAGTCTAGCACAAAAGAGAGTCGTATAGAAACATTTATGGGATGTCACAATCACGTTAACATAAGTTGAAATGCTTTGCAGCAGTGTCGGATAAGAAACGGCTTTCGAAAACGTGTTGATCCGAACGTTTCGATAAAATGCACTTAGAAGCATGGCGACATCATTTATACGCATGAATGTAAATTTTTCTACTCTTGCGCAGCGCACAACAAAACACGCCAGAGAAAACAGTGGACAAGCGATGGAACTGCACTTCTCCTGCGTTCTCTCTAGTATGTTTTGTTGCGCACTGTCAGAAATAGTTTTGATCCGATTCACCTTCATAACTATAATTTATATTAACTTCTATGCCGAAGATCACTTTCTTTGGGAAATTTAACATAAGCTAATTAAACTTCATTCACTTTTCTTGGGATGTATAACCACAATTGAACAAAAACAAAAAGCATGAGATGGTGATCGAAGACCAGTTGTTTATTGCGCTCGCCCATGTCGTCCGTTAATCAGATTTTCCGTTAGACGTTCAGTTGCCTAGCCAAAGTAGCCGTGGCCGTAGCCACCATAGCCGCCATATCCTCCATAGCCGTGTCCGTATCCACCGTATCCACCGTATCCACCGTAGCCTCCGTATCCACCATAGCCGTGGCCGTATCCACCGTATCCGTAGTGTGCTCTCTGGTTGTCATAGTGGTGAGTGATGGCGTGGCTGTATCCTCCGTGGCCGTATCCATGACCGTAGCCGTGGCCGTAGCCGTAGTAGCCAGCATTGGCCACAGCCAGCACGACCAGGACGACGAGGGTGCACAGCTGCAAAAATGGTGATGGCAACAAGCGCGAGTGTCAAATGGCAACGCCTTTAACATTGTCTTGCTCCAAAGCTAAGCCCCATATTTTGTTGCTAACTGCTATTGAGTTGCTTCTGACTTCGAGTGACGTCCTCAGCATGGTAATACCACTACACTCTGCTTAGCATATATTCTTGAGGCTCACTCAGTCGTTTTTCTGGTGCTCCCCTTCCTTTTTTTAGAATGCCAGGAGCCTTAATAAAGATGCGATCACTCATAGACTTAGCCATTGAAAACTAATAACTGTAGCCGAGTGAGTGTTACTGCTGATGCATTGTTGTGGCTAGTGCATTCATACGAAGTTCACTGATACATAGAATTGATGCATGACTTTCCAGAAGGTTTCATTTACGAAGTGATGAGGCCACTCATGTGAGTGCGCGTTGTATATGCATTTGCAGTGAATTTTAGTTTCCAGTACACTGATTTCGTCTCCGGTAACCAAAACAGTTATCGCTCTTCACAAGAGTACGTCTTCAGTATCTACTCATGAAAGCGTTTGCCTTCTGACCGAGTATTCGATACAAGAAAACAGCGCACGCGTTTAATCAAAGTAGTTGCGCATAACGCCGGCCACCGGTCATAACGGTTCCCTTACGCGCTAATTCATTGCATTATTCATTGCCTCACAACAAATGGTGTCCCTCTGCTTTCTTTTCCCACGTTCCGGCCTACGTAGCCAAACAGTACTTCGAAGATTTCTTTTCGAAGTGTAATAAATATGTCCATCATCGTAGCGCAAAATGCACTTCACCATCCAAACAGATCACGATGGAAAAGGACCGACATTAATCGACAAATCCCACAAAAAAAGACGAAAGCAGACTACGCGGAATGTTTCCGCATGTATCCATGTAGCGTAGACAGACCCAGCGCCGGACTACTCACAATGGTCTTCATATCGGACTGCTGCCGGAGTTGCTTTGGGGAGCACTGATTCTCGAAAAGTGATCCGGCGCGTTTATATAGTCGGCCACCCTCTAAAGCGAACCAACCGCGGCACGGTGACGAATTAAAGGTCACCCATTGGACATATCGGCGCATTTCGAAAGGATACCAGTTTTCTTGGAGACACGTAACGAGGTAAACAGAAAAACAAAGTGACAGAAAAACTATGCCGAGTGCACGGTTGGCTTAACCCGCGCCTTCTGCACAGCGAGGCACGTCAAGAAACCGTTCCGATGAAAACAACGAGTCACTCCAAATGTTGCCGTACTGGCCAAACCTGCGGGCCTTTTGTGCCAGGATGCAGAGTCCGGGGTTGGCATGCAGAGTCCGTGGTTCGACTCCCACTGTATATTTGGTATTTTTTTTCATTTCAGGTGTTTTTTCCCTCATTTGATGTGGTGCCGAAGGTGGCGGACAACTACACAACCGCATGCGACCCTTGTGATCTCGTAACATCAATCGTAGTAAAATTGGCCGCCGAAAAAGGGGTCAATTAATGCTTTACCGATTTGTCTACTGTCGGATTATGCTTTTTTTCTAATAAAACTATGTGTGACGCTGTAAGAACACACTTGTCGCCTCCCACGAAGTTAATTTTTTACGTTCATAAAAGCACGTGATCTTCCATCATCGAGGCTGCGACTTCGTTTTGTCTCATTGCAATCATAAGCGGCGAAAAACTTAAAGCACTCATTCTCAGTTTTGACTGACACGATGAGCGGATAAAGTGGTATCGAACTGCATATTCCAATATTGTGAAAAGACCTTTTCCTCAGAGTAGGACTGTAAGAAAGTTTTGTCTCTGTTCTCTTTCGGAAATGAGAAATTTTGTTGCATATAACAATTGTTGCTTTACTCATTAGCATTATGATTCTAAATGCTCACTAATGAGAACCGCTATAAAATGTAACTTAGACGTTAGGTTCCTACTGGACAGTGTCAGTCATGTGTATGTTTTAAATTATATGTGCTTAGTTGTCATACTGCCATGCAAACACGCACAGATCGCGATAGAACGTAAACACAGAGAAATAATAGTGCACGGAAACAAGTGGGGAACAATATTTTGTACGCCTTAACAGACCGCGAGTATAAGATTTCGGCATCGAAAAGCAAACGCGTTGCCCTTCGTCCTTCTTGTGCCAAGACAGGGCATGATCTCGAAATCTGTCCGCAGGCGCCCCGAACAGAAGGCGGCGCACCACAGCCTATACCATGAATAATCAGCCATCAAGTTTACAGTTCCAAGGGGAAGAAAAGAGTCCCTCTAACGAGTCTAACAAGACTTCTTGCCTACAGGACTTAAGTTCACACACAAAACAGCCTATATCACCCTTATTCGGTAGTGCACTCAGCTGTACACATTTGAGCAAACTTCAGATTCTCCATTTCATAGCAGTTTACTTCAATCAAGGAAAACATTAGCACATATTTAGTGTCACAGATGGAGAAGCGGTAATAAATCTACAAGCATAGCAAAAAGAAAAGCTCCAACACATCCTTCTCTTGAGCAATCTTTCGTTATCATACTTCGTATGAAAAAAAAAAATTGTCCCATATCTGCATGTTAATCTGCAAATGTCGTCGAAAGACGATAGTCTAACGCTGTGGAGAGAGTGAACAAAACACTTATTTGATGTTCTGCGCATGAAAATTGGTGAATAGTATTCTGGAGGCGCTGCGTTAGAGTGGAGGTCAACGAGCGCATCGTCACGTCACACGTGAGACATGAGCGCCATCTGGCAGTTTTCTTAGAAAACGAAACGCGTGGCTTTGAGACGAGTGTACGCGCCCGTCTCAGAAGTGTCAAGGTGTAGAACGCAAGGCGACGGGTAGGGGCCACCACCATGTCTTCTTAGCAAAGCGTTGGAAACACTCGCCTTTCCGTACAAGCGTTGCATGGTCAGCACAGCGTGTTAAGCGCTACAGTCCTTAAAATTACTGATGTATGCTACTTCTAGTAAAAGACGCACATGTAGAATATTTACGTGTTGTTATGGTGCCCCAGACATGTGCAATAATTGGTTTTTAATTGACAATCACACAAGTACAAACGCTGAACCTCGAGCAACATTGGTGGGCGCTGCGGATGGGGTCAGCCGTTTCAAGAACCCGATGTCGCTAAGAGTGAACAAACAAACAGACAGACAGACAGACAGACAGACAGACAGACAGACAGACAGACAGACAGACAGACAGACAGACAGACAGACAGACAGACAGACAGACAGACAGACAGACAGGAAGCAGGCAGGCACGCAGGCAGGCAGACAGGCAGGCAGGCCAAAATTTTTGCGTCGAAGGTACCCAAGAAAGACTATCGTCTTTAAAAAAGGCCATCTCTGTATTTTCAATCTCGACTAACGCATACAATATGCAGCTCAGGCTCACGCGTGCCCTCACAGACTAAGAAGGAGGACCTTCCCTTCCTCCTAGTTTCTAGTTTAGAAGCGATCAGTCGGACACGCTCAGGTAATTGCTGACGCGAGCATATCTTACCACTACGGCACTTAATATCCTTGATCCTTTGTTTCCGCAGTCCTGCACTAAATGCAGAGACCTGCTCTCTTTATCATGTATGCTCTGACTGTGCCCATTCAATGTGGGCTCCCGTTTACACAATAAGATGAAGTGGGCCGAGCTCTTCGAAGTTCGGACGTCCCTCAACTACAGGCTGTCCAGGAGGGTCGTGCCAACGCGAAGAGTCACCGCCTCCCTGTTGCGTTCTGGTCGTCTGCTGATCCTAGATGCGTACGCGGGCGAGTTGACGAGCTTCTTCAGCACACTGTTGGTAGATGGTGACCTCCAAGTTTTCTTCGTCAGTGACGTTTCGATGCATGGCGTCGAGGGTCGCTGCCGGGTTCCTTCCATATTCAAACTTGTAGGGCGTCATCTGCGTCGTCTCCTGCATGGCCAGCGCTCTATGCGAAGGTCCCGTACGGAAGGATGGCGACCCACGTCTTGTGTTCGACGTCGACGTACATGGCCAGCATGTCGGCGAAGGTCTTAGACGGTCGGTCAGCCCGTTGATTTTTAGGCGGCGCGTGGTTGTACGGCGGTGGCTTCTCTGGCTGTAACTCACGTCTGCCTGGCCCAGGTCTGAAGTAAACGCCTTACCTCTGTCGGTGATGAGAACCTCTGAGGCGCCATGTCGAAGGACCATGTTCTCAACAAAGAACTCGACTACCTCAGCCACACTGCGTTTGGGAAAGGCTTTTGTTTTGGCGTAGCGGGTGAGGCACTCAGTAGCCATGACGATTCTTATCGCCGCTAGTCGACGTTAGTAATAGCCCCAGGAGGTCCATCGACGAAGAGTACTTCCCGTTGTGGAGCCGATAATGCGCCTCGTCTATACGTGGGAGAGGACACACGACCTTGTTGTTGTTGTTCTCCTATTGTTAGTGGCGCATACCCACTGTGGGTGATTGGCCCTTTTTTTGTGATTTCGTTCACGCGGCAATAATCGACGCAGAGACGTAGGGTTCCATCCTTCTTCTACACTAACACCACGGGGGTCACCCACAGACTTTCGGAAGGCTGGATGGTGTCATCGCCTAGGATTTCGTCCACTTGTCTTTTTATGGCTTCAATTTCTCACGTCGATACTCGGTACAAACTCTGACGGAGAGGCCGCGCATTCTCCACCGCTTTGATTTGATTTTTCGCAACCGCGGTCTGCTGCATTTTCGACGACGATGAAAAGCAATCCTTGTATTTCAGTACGAGGGCCTTGAGCGGTTTTTATTTATGTTTCAAAAGGCTCTAATTGGCGTCAAAGCTAAGAGAGGGGCTTGGATCGTAGGATCAGGTTCCACAGAATTAGTGAGGGTGAAAAAAACTGGTGGTTTTCATAAATTTCCCGACCTATGTGAACGTCGTTCTTTTGCTCACGTGTTTGTACTCATTGCTAAAATTTGTTAGCATAACTGTTGCATTGCCTCTCCGCAGCTCGGTGGTTTCTCTTGAGACACAAATATCGCGGTTGACCACCAGGTGCTGACTGCCTTCCAAGACGCCTCCGAAGTCTTCTGGTTCCAGAATGCTGATGGAAATGTGGCAATGTCATACAGCATTATGCTGAACGATTCTAGGAAAATGGGTTGAGATAGTCGTTTTTTAGAGCGTAAGATACTGTGAGCTTACAACAAGAGCTGATTTTAGTCGCGATGTCATCCACCGCCACCGGTGTTCGTCACAGCTATCGCATACATGATCAAAAAAAACAGCTGTGGTTGGGCTTTTCTAGAACAAGATAGCGATAGCCTGGCTGTGCTCATCGAGGACAAATGCCCTGAACGAGCAGGTGCCTTTGCTTTGCCTTAAAGTGGACTTTTCGAACGCCTCATGCTGGCCCTTTTGTCTTCGTATTCCTCTTCTAACAGGTGCACAGTGCCTTAAAACGTGGGGTAAATTGGTGAATCGTGATGGTACGAACAGTGTGAACGTAAAGCGCGGTACAAAAAAAAAGACCCGTGTCATTATCAAGCAAATATCTTGATCGTTGGCATTCAGCACAGGGATGAGATATTCAGCGGATATGCCTGCCTACTCTCCTTTTCCTTCCTGTTTCTGGCTGATCTCCATGTATGTGGCAAATGCAGAAAATAATCAGGTGTTAGTGAGCGCTCACGTTGCCGTATGTTTTCTTCATCGTCCTGTCTTTATGTTCGCGCTGTGAGCACTACCTGAAAAAATCATCACATCTCCACGAAGTGAATGATGATGAGTGGCCAAAGAAGCGGGGTCATTCGGTGTTATTGTAAATCATCCGTGACATTGACCACTCGCGTATGTAAACGAGCAACAAAACGGTGTACAGTTATGTACAATGCTTATTGGTTACAACTGGTATGTTGTGTTCAGTTGTGAGTTCATATTGCAACCTTCCTTGAGCGAGCACTATTTTATTTTATTATTTGCAACGTGACCTTCTATAGAGCTTGAGCACTATAAGGCCGTAGCCAATGGGCGGGGGGGGGG